CCTGAGTTGCAAGAGGGACACGAAACTATCATTCTCAGTCTTTATCTTGAATTTGGAGACTTCCGATAGGCAACAAGGGTGAGCAAAATGCCGGTTGGATATGCTGTTATAATAACAAAAAATTTGAAGGGGTTTTAAGATCTTCACAGGTATTAATAATCCATCAAATCTTCAGAACAAACCCATGGAGTAGGTGTGATTATTATCATTTTAGAGATAAGCAAAGTGAACAGCAGAGATATTATTACATGAGAGTGAAAAGGTGAAGGAGTCAAGATTCCAACTTCATAGTCTGGCTGCAGGGCTCCACTCCAAGCTGCAGGAGGAGCTGCTCTCAGCCAGTGTGTCTGTCTCATCAGGCTGCCTCTACAATCACAGCTCATAATGGTTCTGAGTGATGCCCACATCTCTCTGAAGTGCAAATGTGACATTTTCTCCCAGCTGTAGTCACGGCTTGTGAGAAGAGCAGGAGGACATCCAAGAGTGATTAGAATTCCTTCCTGTCATCATCAAGGCTGCAACAGCTGGGGTTGTGATCAGATCAGTGGGCCTGAGAAAGTCCACTTCCTGGCCATGGGCCAGTAATAAACAGCAGCCCATCATGCTATCACAGGTGTCAGTAAAGTCCAGTCACAAGCAGGCAGGGTTATACCAGAAGTTTCTAAATCAGAGGAATGCTTTAGGAGTCATTTCTACTCTCCCTCAATTTCCAAATGAGAAAAATTAGGAACAAGTAAGGTGCAGTAATTTGTTCTAGATCACCCAACTATTATATCTAACATCTGAGACACAAAATAGGGGCTTTTTTCCAGGTAACACAAATAATAGCTTGGAGGAATGGCATCAATTAAGACTTCTCTGACTCTTGCAAAAACCAACCCTAGCACTTCATGGTGCTCCTGTTACAATATTGAGTTTATTTACTTCTGTATAGGTCTCTCCTTCACAATGCTGAATGTGAATTCACTTTCTTACTGAGTGACCTCTGACAATTTGTATAACCTCTTTGGTACTTATTCTTTTCCCTTCTAAAATGAGAAAAACTTCACTAAATGGCGTCAACTTCACAGTGTTATTAAAACAATTTTATTTATAGCATATGGTGCTGGGTGCCAGGCAGATTCAAGGGTTTTAAGTAGCAGCTATTAATCATTTTTTGTCTCCCAGCTATCTATTTGTGTTTGGTAAGTCAACTTATCAATCAACAGAGAAAATTCAGTCAACAAAGTAACAGAGAGGCAGAGCATTAGAGAGACATAAAGAAGCAACGTAGAAAGAGATACAGAGAAGGCTGTAAGTCCAAAAGGTGGTAAAATGCTGCAGAACTGAAAGTAGGGATAAAGAAACACATGGAAGTAGAAGAGCCTTCACCACTAACTCAGTCTCCAAAATCAGCTTCAGGCTCTTCAAGATTTAAGTAAGGCAAGTTTCATTATCATTAGCTTTTTTAGAGAATTTAAAGCATAGGGATTTAAAGCACAGAGCTAAGACTAGGTTCCAAAGTCATATGAATTCACAAACAGGTCCTCCACTCCTACAACCATTGTGAGGATTAAGTAAGGTTATGGAAGTCTTGGCAAATGGCTGGCACCAGAGCAGTGGCTGATACCATACCTAGTTTCACCATTGAGATTACATTCCTCATGCTCCTACAGAGGGCCCAGCAGAGACACAGTGGAACTATATCTCCTAAGAAAGAAGTGGAATCCCTAAACCCCAACATTCATCACTGCTCAGAGCAGCATCTGATGGGCTGCTCTAAGAGGCAGCCACACATAGAGTTCTTAGTAGCTCACACAGTTGTTCAGGTAGAGCAAAAGACTTCCAAACTTCTGGCAGGATGGCAAGCTTCAACCCTAAACCTAGCCATCTTTCTCTTCCTATCCTAACCCTAATTAATAACATGGGCAAAGAGTTGGTGGCCACAGCAACAAAAGCAGCCAAGAGAGAAAGCAGCTGTCTGGAGGGCTCTGTGCCAGGACCCAGCCCAGAGGGACTCTGGCATTGATTACAGTGGTAAATAAACAGAGCTGATGGCTATGGCGGGCACTGAACCCTGCCAGGAAGGGACAGGGGCGATAGGATTCTTGTAATTACACTGGTGCAGACTCAGCCCTCATGAGGTTATTCACAACGGACTCAGATCTGTCCCCAGGGTGGGCCCTGCAGCAGAAACCATTCCAGCAGTAGTTTGGCAAGCCAAACCAGTCGTGACTCATCCAGGCCACCTGTAAAGGAATTTGATGCCTAATAACCTGTGCAAAGCTCCTAATTGTCATAATTCATTTGGCACCTCTTCCCTGATAGGTGCTAAACAAGTACCACAGAGCAAAAACTCATTTCCTGCTAGCATGATTTTATCCCCCCCACAATTAACGCTGTGAGAAATTGTGTTATTTGAAAAACCCAAGCACCAGATTTTCCTCACAAACCCACTTTTTAGTATCTCTTCTTTTGGCTCTCTCTATCCACTCTTGTTATAAACATCTTACTTTCTTTGGCTTATTCCATTACTACTTCCCTGATGCATAATTTCAGTTATAATTATTTTCACATTTTCCTGTCCAGCTGGCACTAGTCTTGTTGCTTCCATCTCCTTTATCTTTAAAATGTCACACTGTTGCCCGAGCTTATTTAACAACCCTGAAAGCGGGGAACTGTAACCATTGTAGGCTCATCCTCACATCTCTTAAAAAAGTTTTCCTGACAAGATGCAAATACAGCAAGCTAGCAACACACAGCTGAGCGCCATTTCAAAGGAAAAATAGGAAAACAGCCATTTGCCTTCTGCTACTTTAAAAATAAAAAGGACAAGGAGGAAAGATATCATATTAGAGCAGAAACAGAGGAAAAACATTTATTATAATAGTGTCCCATGTATCAAACACTACCTTCCATAAACAGAAACAAGGAGACAAAGAGTTTCTTGTTCTGTTTCTGCATCTGTGACCCCTAAAAGATACAGTGACCCAAAGTTTATCTCTGATAGAAGAAAAACTAAAAAGTAGTGACCAAGTTTTTGCAGTAAAATAGGGGGTATTTTTTTGTTTGGAAATGTGGATGAACATCAATGCATTTATTTTCAGAATGTCTCTTTTAAGTATTCATTCTTTTGATGTTCAATATCATCATTATCAAATTGCTTAAATGAATACTAACCAACGTCAGCCACCTGTACTCTGGGAGGAATTAAGCTCATTTAATGAATCACCTTGAGTGTTTCTAAACACAAAAGTGCAATGATTTATAAATGTCAACTTTAAAAGTATATTTGAAAATGACTATCCTAACATTTAAGTTGAAGCTTTAAATAAAAAAGAAGATCCCAAGTAACTCCACCGACCCTTTCCTCAGAAGTTAAAAACTGCAAGGAAGAAACAAATAAGAAATTGTTTCACAAATATAATTTAAGAAATCAGTCCGTACATTTACAGGCCAAGAGCTCATATGAAGAGAATCTGGAGGAATCTTGTACTCAAAGATCTGGATGCTGCCTATGCTCACCTGGCTAAGTCCTAAAGTTCAATATGGAAACAGCTGTCTTACAGAAGGAAGAAATTATGTGCCCAAGGGATAGAGTAATTTATCTATTGAGAAAAAAAGTTAAAGACAAAATAAAGTTGGTCCTGATAATTCTCAAATCCTCACACATATGAAATACCTTGCTTTTATTTCTTTTTTTTCTTTTCGTTTTTATACACTAAGGATTGCGTCCAGGGCCTTACATATGTTAAGCCCATACCTTCCCACTTGGCTATAATCCTCCCAATCCCAGCATTTTTTTTTTCTGGTGGGGCTGGGGTTTGAACTCAGGGCTTTGCACTTGCAAAGCAGTCACTCTACCACTTGAGCCACACCTCCAATTCATTTTGCTCTGGTTATTTTGGAGATGGGGTCTCATGAACTATTTGCCCAGGCTGACCTCAAACTGCTGTCCTCCAGATCTCAGCCTCCCAAGTAGCTAAGATTACAGGCATGAGCCACAAGTGCCTGGCAATCCAGCATTTATTCTTAAAAGGTAAAACCATTGTGAATATCAATTAGATCAGCAACTATTTTTTATTAACTTTATTTTTGCTTTAAAAAGACAGCACTTTTAGGGTACAGTTAAACTCTCTAATTCAACAATAAGAACTAATTTAACTTCCAAACACTGAACAAAGGAAATGTATGAGTTAGAAACCTTTTGGCTATGTCTTGAAACTCCAACAGGAATCAACTGATATTGTATGGGGTATTTTGTGTATCTAAATGAGAGCAAGATTTAGGGTTTTATACAGCTTAATCCCAGAAAGAAAAAAGACCAACACCCTCCCTCTCCTTTGTCTTCTCAGTGGATTAGTTTCAACCCCCTTCCTTACACCCTGAACTTTCTCACAGATGATGGCTACCAGCAGCTTCTAAGCTCTTTGTCTCAGAAAATGAATGTCCATCTACTGCCTTAGTACCAACTCAAAAACTGAGGAAGACAAAGCAATCCACCTGCCTTGATCTGAATGACTATATCCATGGAGGTGGGACAACCTTAAGGACAGATCATCTAAAGGGCATGATTGGAATCCAGATAAAAGTAATTCTTAATAAGGAGGGAGAGGGGTAATCAAACAGGCTACTGGCAGAGAATACAAGAATAAATAATCAAATAAAACAAAAACAAGCACAGACTCTTAAAGTTCAGCAATGCCAAAAAAAAAAAAAGCCAAGGTAATATAAGATGGAATACTGAAAGTTGGTATTAAGGCACTCTTTGATATATTTGTAATTCTTATTAAAAAGAAAACCAGGCCAATGAATAAATATTTTAAAAAATAGTTAAGACACCATTTCTCTCCCCTTTCTTAGATGCTTTTTGTTATTTCCTATTAGCATCTATGCTTTTGGTCTATAAATTGTCCCTCAGAACTCTTGCAAAGCATCCATAATGTTATATCTGTTAGAATTGTTTTGGAGTTGTCTGTTATTTTTAGGGTGCAAAATTGCTCGAGTTGTCTGTATTACTTTTAGGAGTCAGAATTCAACTGTGAATTTCCATGTTCCAGATTCATAGCATTATCTTCTGGGCTTTGAGATTCCAATGCAGCTTCCAGTTCTTGCTCCTTTGCCAACTGCTGCATTTTCATGTTTAAATCCAGTAAAGTTTTGGCCAGTTGATGGCTTTGGAAACGCATTTCCAGCTAAAAGTTAGAAAAAATAAGGAATTTTATTAGCTTGAGATACAGATCAGATGAAATTGCTCTCTGATGGCACAGGAGAAATAAGGAGTTTGTCGGAAAGGAAAATAAGATATCAAGAAAGATGCATTTCTCATCTTATTCTCCCATTCTGACTGTTTGGCCTAGCTATAAAACTGACTTTCTATATGACAAGGTAAAATTCAGATATATAAATAGCTTTGGAAATGGCCTTGAAATGAAAACAAAAATAGCTGATGCACAAAGCTGTCCATATGAAAAATACCTATGCACCAAAGGCTGTTTTCAAGCAACGGCATGTGATCCACAATGAAATCGTTTATCTTTATGAGTTTCTGAGCCACAGGATAACTGCCTGGGGCCACCTGAGTGTTCAAAATCTGGACCCATTTACTTGATTACTTGTCATTTCAAGTTTTCAGGATTTTAAATGGCCTCCCTGCTGAGCACAAACATTTAACAACACCTTGGAGGCACATGTGTAGTTATATGTACTTATATAATCGAACACTTTTCACTCTAGGATGAAATCTGTTATATAGCAAGGTTGATTTATACCTCTTTCAATGGGAGTTGTTGATGGTCCTCATGTGTTAAAATAAAATTTAAAAAAAAATCTCTAGGACAGGTTACCTAGGAGACAGTCCAACAAAGCTTAGTCTAACATAATCTTTATATTATAACCGAAAAATAAGGATCAATTACTAGCAAATTCCTTCAATTGGGGTTTTGTTTAATGCAATTCATTAGAAACTTATGCTTTCTGCTTAAAATCCTTCATCCATTCATTGACAGTAACCATCCCAGGATGAACAAGGGCATTGTGTTAGTAAAGTAAATGCTGTTTTCACAGTTTCCTTCCAATTTGCAAAATAAAGCTAAAATTTAAGTTGGCTAACATTATCTTTTAGTTTTCCTCTGACACTATTTTTTTTCATTCTTCAGCACTTCTCTGACAAGAATTAGCAAAGTATAAAGTTAGATGGGCATCAAGCAAACAAACACTAACCACCCAACCACCACCACAAAAGCCCCAGCACCTTGGCTACAAGAAGATTCAGTTCTCTAATGCAGCTCCCAAGCTCTAGAATCCTGCCCTACATTTCCAGCTTTTTTTGTTAGTACTGTCCCATGCCAGCTCCCACTACAGGTGCTCAGACACTTTGCCAATCCCTGAAGAAGTGCTGTGCTGAGCCCCCCCTCCTTTTGAACCCTGTGTGTAAAATGCCCTTTGCTACTTCTATTTCCACTGAATGCAAATACCAACTCTTCTGAGCAGCCTCCCATAATTGCATGGGCAAATGTAACTGCTTTTGCCTTCACTTCCACAGCGTTCTATACAGATGCCTCTCATAACACACAGAGTAGACTCACACTGTTGACAGCAGAATTGTTACTTGCTCATGGTTATATCCTCAATTGTGAGTGCATTGCCTAGGTTTACAAAATGGGTTCTCTGTGTGTTTGCTAAACCTGAATGAATGGAGGGATATATGAATGAATTGATGATTCAAAGAATCAGGAAGTAAAGTTATTGTTAATAGTTCCCCATCTAAATAAAGTATGGGTAATTCATACTTATTTAGGGAATTCAAACACCAATGACTTAAATTTTTCTGTCATGAATCCCTTTGAGAATCTGATTAAAGTTACGAACCCTCCTTAAGAAAAAATTCTCACTATGTACATATAAAATTGTACAACAATTTTAGATTAGTTCTAGAGACCCTGAAATCCACAAACAGGCCCTAAAAAAATCAATGCATTCCCCTAGGAATACTGAATCAAACAGAAAATAGTTTAAGTAACAACATGATTCTAATTTAATTGAATTTGTTCATCATTACTCCTTCCACAAATCTCATCCTCATAGATTACATGGATAGATAGATAGATAGATAGATAGATGTTCTATAGAAGTATAGAAATCTGGTCAGTGGCCCATTATCAAGAACTACTTCTAGTGGTGATAATATTAAGCTATAATATCCACTCTTGCTCTTCTTCATGACCAATCACAAACATAGAGGAGATGGTTTTTCATGGTCTATAACCTAGGCACACGAGTGTGTAAAATTCTCTGGTTCTTTTCCAGAAAAATCCTTGATTTTGACATTTATACACATATAATTCTCATAGCAATTCTAAGAGATTATTATTTCCAGGTGAATAAACAAACCCAAATGTACTAATTAATTCCCAAATTAGGGCATACTACTGATGAATGGATTAAGAAAATGTGGTATTTATACACAATGGAATTTTACTCAGCCACAAAGAAGAATGAAATTTTGTCATTTGCAGGTAAATAGATGGAACCAGAGAACTTCATCTTAAGTGAAGTTAGCCAGGCTCAGAAGGCCAAAAGCTGTATGTTCTCCCTCATATGAGGATTATAGACCTAAAGCAAATGCAGCAATATTATGGGATGCTGGTCACACTAAGGGGAGACCACGCACAGGAGATATAGGGCAAGGGAAGGAAACCTAAAACTTGAATGTGGTTGATGTGCTCACTGTACAGAAATGAATATAGAAATCTTAAGCTGGTCATGGCTACCATGGGAAAGGCACTAGGGAGGAATGAAAAGGACTAGAAGAGATTAAAACAATCAGGGTTGTAATACATACATGCATGGAACAACACAAGGAAGCTCCCTCTCAAAGTAGCAAAAATGTCATGTTTCTCTTTTTATCTTTTGTTTTTTCTTCTACAAAATCAGAGAACAGGAAAGAACAGGTTCGGGGGGTTGGCACTGGTGGGATGGGGGAGGTGGTAAGGAAAGGGGTAGGAGCAAGAATACAGTACAAATAATGTGTACACATGTATGTAAATGCAGAAATGATACCTGTTGAAACAGTTCCAGAAATCAGGGGGAGGGGGGATGAAGGAGAGTGGTGGAGGGGGTGAAATCAGGTATGATATATTTGATACATTGTAAGAACTTTTGTAAATGCTATAATGTACACTCACCCAGCACAACAATAAAGGAGAAAAAAAAAAGAACAGAATAGGGGAAGCAAGTGTCACCTAATGCTGGAATTTAAATCTTCCTCTTCTCTTTGGAACTTTATTCCTATCTTCTCTCTATCCCCAGTACATTACTTGCTTAAAATTTCTACAGTGGGGCAACTTATTAGAACATTAAGTTTCCAAAGTGTCTCAGAGCTATTTGAGTATAATTTCCTCATTGGATTTAAATATAAATCAACTAAGGCACAGGTATGGGTAGTGACTCAACCTGGGTGAGCAGTACAGAGACACCTGGTCCAGAGCTCAGATGTGGTGATAAGATGGCTCCCTTATCAAGCCTCTGTTTAGACCTTGGATGAAACCAGGTGTTTCTTCAATGTGGCTGGATAAGATATAATACATCCCTTATCTGATTCAGATTATTAACTTGGGTAAAATTAGATTTACTACCACATTGCCCTTCTTAAACTCAGAAATGAGACAGACACTCTGTCGAGGCTCTTAAATGTAACAATTTATTGATGATTAAATCAATTCTAAAGTAGTAGGATAATCACCATTCAGTGCAAAAGAGGATTTTCCAAGTCTTCATTATACGCATTCACAGGCAGCTCCACTTTCAAGTTTGAATTGGCAAGATATAAAGAATCCTTTCTAAGAACTGGTGGACTCACTCTATCAATCTCAGGAGTCACTGAAATTTCCCAGAGAGAGAGAGAGAAAGAGAAAGAAAGGGAGAGAGCGAGATTTCTATACAGTAGAAAAAATAGAGAAATGGTCGAAGTCTTGAGCATGTCACTGGTGGACTAGGCCCTGATCAATCCTAGATGGCTCCTTCCCTCCCAGACATGCAGGCAGTGGTGGCGTTAACATCTTGCCAGGGCGCGATCTAGCACAGGGAAAGATCAGAGGCCAGTGGCCCGCTCTACTTCCCTGGGAACAACCCTGTTCAGCCTCCCCAAGTCCTCGGGTGAGCTACGCAGCCAGTGGCTCTTAACTCCGGGTTCAGAGGACCAAAAAGCGCTCTGGGGAGAGCCAGCCCCCTGCCCGCGCGCTCACCAGCTCTGAGCGCAATGCGGCCAGTGCGCACTCGACGCGCGCCCAGCTCTGCTGGTCCCGCGCTGCAGCCGCCGCCTCCCGCGCTCGCCGAGCCCCGGCTTGCCACTGCCGGCTGGAAGGCGCGCGCGAGCCGCCGCCCGAGGTCCTCCAGCAGCTGGTTGGTGGCGGGGCCCTGCTCCCGCAAGTCGTTGCTTCTGCCACCCCCAGCGATGCCGTGAGCGGGACGCGGCGCTGGAGGCCAAAGCCCAACTCTGCCTGGGACTCCAAGGAGCCTCCGGGGGAATTTATGTCTGCAGTGACCACAGTCCGCCAGTCCCATCGTGGAGATGCCGGGTCCCTCCTGCAGCACTCTGTTGCTAGCGATTTGTTTGCAAGTTAGAGCACTGGGGCGGGTCAGGACCCGGGCAGGGGCAATTGACGGAACCCACTGGGCCAGTGCTGAATGGGACGCTATTACTGCTCAGCCACTCAGAGCCTTTGCTCCCAGCCGGGTCTCTATCGTCTCTACTTCCCTTTAACGACAAAGGGAGAAGGCAGTTTCAGTAGAGGTTTCAACTGGGTCGTTTTTTGTTTTTTCTCCTTGTTGTGAAGTGTTTCTAACTTGGCTTGGAGACTTGAGCTGTCAGTCGGTGGAAGCTGAGGTGCAAGCAGAAGGTTTAGAACCAAAGTTTGGACTATTTTGACACGAAGGCTTCCCAGCTGTCTTGATTTCTGATACTATGTGCCTTTAAAAAAATTTCTGGCGTTTTACTATCTGCTAAGCAACGTGCCAGATGTTGGTAATACGAAGGCCAATTAGACTCCTTTCCGCTCCCTCAGGTATTGCCCCAATCAAGAAGGAGAAGCATGGCGCGGTTTGCAAGTTAGAAATGTCTTTCCAATGGTCTCTACAAGTCCAGTAACTCCTGCTTAGGGTTCTTGAAACTTGGGATTCTTTCCTGTACCTTGCTGCCATGTCCAACAAGCAGGGGTTAAAATTTTAAAAATCAAAACTCCTCTTACTCCAAAGTGTGATTTTACAATTTCCAATTCAGTGCAATCATGTGCCAATGTTATCTTTTATTCATGAATATATTCTAGTGCTTCTTTTTGAGCTAATAGAAAATTTCCCTAAAGGAGTGATCACAGGCAGCAATAACAAAAATAAAGTGACAGAGATGTTCACACAGTGCTCAGACCTTAGAGTTATTCATTCATTCAGTGAAGATTTACAAGTTACCTGCAATGTTCTGGGGTCCATGGTAAGCACTGAAGGCAATAAGAGCTAGTTTTCATTGGTGCTTGCTCTATGATGGGCACTTTTCATAGGTAAACCCACTGACTCCTTCACAGCACTGCGAAGTAGATACTGATAGTTTCCTTATTTTCTAAATGAAGAAATTAATGTGAGAAGGTCAGCTGCATAACAGAGGTCACAAAGCTGCTACTTAAGTCGCAGGGCATTTGCATCTGGGTAGCCTGGCTTGTACTCCAAAACACCTTTGGATGCACACTACCTCCCAAAGAGGAAAAGAGATGATCAATTTACATGTTGCACAAGTGAGTGCTCAACCTCACCGTGCTGATCATATCCAGCTCTCCTGAAATGGCTCAAGTCTTCACTGCATAAGAAGGCAAATAGGTTACCAGGTCTCTGCAGAGAATCTTCCATTAAACACCTTACAACCTAAGCACAATAAAATACCCATCTTTCTATATTGTTGCATAATGAGTCTCTAGAAACATTTGAAGATGTGTTCTATTGGTAGAAACTAGAAAATCCATACTGTCTACCACTTACCAACAGAGTAAAAAGTTAGTATTGGTGGGAGGAGGAAGGGGTTCTTTGGTTGGTTCATGGAGCTTGAAAACCAGCACTAGTCAAGGAACAGTATAAATGTTTAAAATGAGTTTTCTGCCATGACTTTTCACTTATATTCCCAAGTTATTTACTTCAACAAGAATTTCAGTTAAGTTCAATTTAATTCAACAAGCAGTGAATGGTTCATGTTCACTGTTGAGTGTTGTACACGGTGAGGGAAATACAAGATGAATAAGGCACAGTCTTTGCCTCCAGAAGCTTAAAGCCTGGGAAAGCAAACTCATTCATTCATTTAACAATGATTATTTAATGTCTTATTATGTACTGAGTATTATACATGGTGCTCAGCCTACAATAGTAAACCAAACAGACAAAACTGTCCTAAAGCAGACTGCTTTTACCACAAATAAATGCTTTCCTTCCATAGATTGGTTTTTCAGCTGAGATGCACCTTGAGTTTTACAACATTTTTTCTTCTTTTACACAGGCAAAGTAAATTAAAATTGGAGAATTAGTAGTGAATATATCATACACAGATACTCAAGTTAGGAAATGTATCAGTTACCTGTTGCCGCATACCAAATTATTCCCAAATTCAATGGTGAAAAACAATAAACATTTTTTATCCCTCACAATTTCTGTGGGAATTTAGGAGCAGCTTAGATGATGGCACAGGGCTTTTGTGACATTGTAATCAAATGTCAGCCAAGATTTCTGTCCTCTGAGGCTGGATGCCATGGGAGCTGGAGGACCTGCCTCCCATGCAAGGTCCTCCAGAGACCTCAGCAAGGTGACTCTCTTGTGGGTAACAGTTGGTGCTGGTGTTTGATGGGAAGCTTTATCTCTTCGTACTGCTTCAGTGGCCTCTCTCAGAACAAGAACATCAGGAATACAGACAGACAGACAGAAATTATATACGCTCTGAGTCACATTTTTATGACCTGACTTTGGAAGTCATGTATCATCACCTCTACCACATTCAATTTCATTAGTATCAAGTCTAAGTAAAAAATGCACTCAAAAGGAGCAGAATTTGGCTCCACCTTTTGAAAAAATGCCACTGGAATAAAACTTATACATGTATGTAAGAAATGTTTCAAATGACTAGTGACTCCCTATCAGAAAAAAATGAATATGGAAGTTTTATTTTTAAGTACACAGAGAAAAAACTTAACATATATTTTATTCCCAACGGAAAAATAGCCTTCAATAAAGCCAAGGCCAAGTTGGGTGTGGAGGTGCACACTGTGGTCCTAGCACTCAGAAGCTGAGGATAGAGGATGACGCCGAGTTTGAGGCCAACCTGGGCTATATAGTCTGTCAAAAAAAATAGATAAAAATAATCAAGGTCAAAAGAAGTGTTTTCAAATAAAAGAATAAAGGATAATTTGCCAACAGCTGACCCACATTAAAAGAAATATTAAAGGAAACTCCTCAGGTGAAGGAAAATATGGATTTCAGGACAGAACGAGGCATATATAAATAAATTTCACCCTTATTTTCTATTATATGTGTGTACATGCATGGGGTATTTTTTGAGACAGGGTTTCACTATAAGCCCAAGCTGACCTGGAACTTGAGCTCATTCTACCTCCACCTCCCAGCTGTTGGGACTACATGCATGTGGCACCACACACAGCTCACATTTTCTATTATTTTTAATTGAAACATAAAATTATATATATCTGTGGTGTACCATGTGTTGTTTCAATGCATGTCTTATCTATTCAAACATTTATCATTTCTATGGGGTAAAATCCTTCAAAATCCTTTCCTCTACATTTAAAAACTTTTTTTGCAGTATCAGGGTTTGAACTCAGGGCCTCACACTTGCTAGCCAAGCACTCTACCACTTGAACTGTTCCATCAGCCCTCTTCTACCTTTTTTGAAATATACAGTACAGGTGATACCTGGTTCCCAGTTTTATCCCCTTCTCTGCTTCCTGGCCACCATGATGTGAACTGCTCTACTCCACCATGCCCTCCCCACTATGATGAGCTGACACCTTTGAAACCATGAGCCAAAATAATCATTCCTCCCTTAAATTATTTATGTCAGGTATTATATCATAGTGACAAGAAAGCAACTAAGACACCTCAAAATCTTTAGTCAGGATAAAATACAGTTTTCTATCATACCTTTAGTGCCCATCCTGATTTGCATCCCTTCCATTTCTACTCAACCCTTTGCTCACTCCACCCCAGCCATCCTGGTCTCTTTGTTGTCCTCACCTCAAGATGCTTGCTTTGTTGTTGCGTTTGTCTAGAATTCCCTTTCCCAGGTTTGTGGATGCCTAATTCTCTTCCTGAGAACTGTTACTGAGTTCAGGTCTCTGCTCAAATGTCACATAATCAAAGAGGCCTTATTTGAGCTAAACTACATATATGCATCTCCATCCCTGTCAGCCCTTATCTCTTCAGCCTGCTTTTCATTTCTAACATTTACATCAATTCTCATATTACACATTTATTTGTTTTCTCATTTGTTCTCTATTTGCCCCAGCAGAATGTAATCTCCTTGTAAACCAATACTTTCTTTTGTTACCTGCTGTATCTTGAAGACCTAGAATGGTGTCTGGCAATTAGTAGGCACTACATAAATTTTTAATAAATGTATAAGACAGGGAAAAAGAGGGGAACAACAGGACAAGAGATAGGAAGATGGGGAGACAGTTAAGGAAGAAAGAACTGACTACACTACTCAGGGACCTAAAACAAACATGGAATGTCATGTGAGCTAATGCAATTCTCCAAAGCAACTCAAAAAAATGATAAGTTGGGTCTGCTTGAAAAGAACAGGTATTCCTTAAGGACAAGAAAAATAACTCCTGTCCTTGCAGGGAAGCATAAAGTAGATTATATCATTCAATGAAATTGTCATGTCCTATTATGAGCCCCAAGTCTAACAAGCTTGACATTGTCTGAATTCAGCAGTCTCAGCTGACTTTCAGGAACTGTGTAATGCCTGAAATAATGTGGGCACAGAGAAGGCAAGGAAAAGGCAGAGGCAGGATTTGACTCTAGATCTGTGTGGTATAGTACACTTCACTGTACCACACCAGACAACAAACAGTTACTAAAGCAGCACTGATTCCTTTATTCCTGTCATCTGGGTCAATCATGCCATAGCCCAAGTGCCATCCTGTCTCTGCCCTTACATTTTAAGGCCACTTCTCTTTGTGCTTTTGAACATTGGGATGCACATATCATTCTCCTGATTCATATAAAATGGCAGCCAAATAAAATTCTGGAATTCTTCATGCAAAGTCTAACCTCATCTCTGAATCCCCCTAAAGAAATTCACCAATTAGGGCCAAGTATGGTGGTACATTTCTATAATCCCAGTTACGTGAAGGTAGTGAGAGAAGGATCATGGTTCAAGGACAGATTGGGCCAAAGTTAGTGCAAGACCCTATCTGAAAAACAAACTCAAAACACAAGGACTGGGGTGTGGCTCAGGTGATTGAGTACCTGCACAGGCCTGAGTTCAATCCCTAGTACTGCAAAAATAAATAAAC